TAAAATGCCAATTGTACAGTAACCGAATGCTAATTCTCGTTTACGGTCTGGCTTCGAACTAATTTGGAGTACTAATGAACCCCAGAAGAGTACAAGATTTAAGTGCCATTTGGGAGGTAAGGAAGAGTGAATTTCAATGACATTTTCTCTTCTGCTTATTTATTTTTAACCACTCACCTGTGACCTAATAAACCCCAGATTGCCCTAGGCATTTAATAAACTTTTTATTTTTGTATAAGTATTCCTTCCCTTAAGAAATGTTATAACAAAGCTAGTGGATGAAGCCAATTTCTCAAGTTTACTTGTGCCAGAGAGGATTTTTCCTAGAATTAGTCATCAAAAGTCTACGCCATGCTACTCGAGGCGTTATGTTCTATAATCTGCCTCAAGACTTTGAGGCTACATATCCTCCAATCCCCTTGCACTGGCCCTCAATGTCTGGATTCTCAAAACAGATGAAAACTGAACTTGACGCTGCTGGTTTCCTCATCCACTATTGGAATGTGCACCGGTGCAATCTTTTGGTCATGTACAGATCGGGTTGCGACAAAATATTGTGTCAATATAGACGCTTTTGTGTTGGAGAGACTTGTCGTACCATTCGACAAAGAGTCGCTGAGCACAAAAGCGCCTGCAACGGCTGTTGGGCTCACAATTTGGAGCTGACTGAGTACAGGCCCGAAACGGGGCACGAGATTGAATGGTCTCAAACTTGTTGTTTTGCTAATTATCGCATGCCTGCGGCTAAACGTAAAATTAGAGGAGTCATCGAAATAAACCGTATAGGAAATACATTAAATGTAAGGATAACCGGCAAAAAGATAAGTAAAAATCACCTGTGCTTAATTAATAGAGATGCAATCATCGTATTTCGTTTAGGGTGATGAAGGACTGGTAGTTGCATTTTCCAACAATGGTATGAGAAGAGCTGACGTCTCCATAGAATTTCACATAACACATGTCAATATTATTGTCATATTACGGATTTACTGGTAGTCTCGAAACTCTAGAACATACGAAAAATAAGTAACTTAGTCGATTGTTATACCAAATATACGTTTGCTTAATCGACAATCCCACCAAAGAATATGCTATGGCAAAGGGCCTGGCCATTCTTGAAATTCATATCTGCCATGTGACTCAAGGAAACTCATGGCAATGTGGTCGAGTGGTTAACGTGTCAAGCTCATATTATGCACTGTCACGGTTCAGATCCCGCTGAGGGTATTGACAAGACCGATGCGAGGTCAAAACTGCCGTCCACTGGTGCCTGGATGAGATCAAGTTTTGTGAAAGCAGGGCTGCGTGAAATTCAATGGAAACGTCAATTCTACTCATATCATTGTGGGTAAATTATACTACCAGTCCTTCATCACCTTAAACAAAATAGGGTGGATACATTTCATATTACTGATTTACTGGTAGTCTCGAAACTCTACTAACATACGAAAAATTAATTAATAGACTTAAAGTCAGAAAGGGTGCTGAGCCGCCTGCAAAAAGGAGGCGATTTAACTAGTCACTTCTGTGTACTTCGGCCCATTCTTTCTCTCTCTCTTATGAAGACAAAAATGCTCATCACCACAACCAGACGTGTGTCCGACCTTGCGCACTCGGAATGATGGTTAAAATCTATAAGGAGAGGAGAGGCTGGTGGCCATCAAACCTTGATGGCCGAAAACAGACGTTACTTTTTCTGTTTTTTTAACTTTGACCCATCACTGCCGGTTTCTTACATATGCAAGCACACACAGGCACATACCCATAAAGAGACAGACACACTCACAATCTTCGAGGTATACATATGAATGGAATTAATCAACTCACTTAATACCTAACAAGGGTCAGATAAAGAGTAAATATACAGCTTTTTAGGGATTAGCTGCTGAGACTTTTAGAATTTGGTTGTAAGGATGATATCCTATTTTGATAATGTTAATCATACGACGGACGAAAGCTTGGAACGTTTTCACATGATTCAAATGTGATCTCGAAACAAGAATGTTCCAATAAAGCCAATCGACATCTGCTTACGAGGAATCCGCCGTCGTCTTTTGGTTGGAATGACCTTTGAATCTTTTCACCCAACACTTTCACTCAACAATTAAAGAATTCCATTTCGTATTAAAGCTAAACGGCGATATTAAACTACGAATCATTTCATAATGTACCTTCATATGAAATGAAAGACTCTAAAACCGTGAGTAGAGTAAATCTTTAAAATAAAGGATACTAAAAGAAATTCCTCCTTCAGCTCTGGAGCTACTATTAGCTGGTTTTTTGTGTTGATTGAACTTAAATAAGCAATAGGTATTAGTAAAGGATGTCAAGCTGGCACATGAGGTGTGCACAATAGTTGAAAGAACTATTTCCACAGAAGTAATATTATGATATAGTTCCATGAGATCATTAACGAAGTAGCCATATCGTATCGATATTTGCTATAGAATATTTATTGTAGGATAGTTGGGCTGAATTTGGCTTATAAAATAACTTAGCAAACCAATCCGATAAACACTTTTGCTAGTGTCAAATAGTTCAAGGTCAGCTTGTAGTGGCTACAATATATTGAGAATTATATTGAGTTTTAGACTCCGATGTTTCGAAAAAATTCCGTTATGATGTGAAGATGGGTTTTATGATCGTTTTAATCTCACTCGAAATTGCTTCGATGCCTTTCGATCTCCAAGCAAAGCTGCAGCCAGTTAATGAATTTTGTTGATACGAGTGTGGGCAAGCTTACTTATCTATTTGGGATTCGGAGCCGTAATAAAGAAGTCAGTTGTGATCACTAAAACATGGCATAACAACGTTTTCACGGCTGGGTCGTGTTGTCAGGGTGACCTGGATGAAATAACCAATTTTAAGCGTCAAATTATCAGCAAACTCCGAATAAACAGTAAACCTTTTCAAAAATTTGGTAGGATGGCAGACAGCTGACACATAAACGTCAAACGTAGGGCAAATGTTTTTTATTTTTCCTCCTCATAAACATGCTTCAACAGAAGCAAAAGTAAACCAGCCTGCAGGTTTATGAAGGCAAGCATGATTTATTTAATTTGATTAAGGTTTACTATATAATAAGTGAACTATTCGAGAATAGAATGGCACTCAGATTCCCGACCTGTGTTAAATAGGTCATTAAAATACCTTTTATTTATGGGTTTTTTTTATCAATAGAGTTGACAACGAGCATAGCTCTCAAACTTTATATATATCCGAAACAAGTATTATGTTTAAATTGACCCCGCAGCGTAATTTTGTCCTATTAAGGCCGTCAGAGACAATGAGAGACTATGCAAAACCTGATTCCATCCTTCCGATTGCTACACAGAAGCAGAAGGGCCTGATGCAATGGCTGGCCATCTTAGCTTGAAAGTCCAATTTCGACAAACGTCTCATTTACTGATAGTGGCACGTTTTTTGGACTAAAGCATACCGATTTTCAGGTCAAAATTTGTGAATAAAAGGCCAATATAAAATGGGTCACCACTGTTCACAAGATAAAAGAAGAAATAGTGTACTAGAAATCTAGTAAAAAAGCTCAGCAGGTTACAAGAATAAGTAAGTGATATCATAATGAGGTCGAATGAACGAATGCCTGAGCTGTGCATTGCTCTCATTCATGGCACGATTGCCTAGGACAAGCAGGTTGTGGTTTGATGCACACTGGCGGTAAAGAAAGCCATCCGGACAAATAGAATCTCTGGACACACTCACAAATTTCCATCTATTTTCTCGTAAAGTAGGTGTGGCATAGGGAACCTGCTCTCTTTGTAGCGCTAACCTTGGCTAATAGAATATTCAATTAAACAAACCGCAGAGGCTGCCTTTAGTTTTCCATAGAAACGGATAAAAAATGACCAGCCACTTGGTATGGCATAGATCAAACATATTAACGAAACGTCTTGGAAAATGCACACCGAGACAAGTACTAACTGACAAAAGTTGAGGCAAGGTAAAAGGCAAAATATGAGGGCAAGTGTTAAAATTCCCACAGAGACAGTTTCTATCGTCTGTCCACAGCTCATGAATGCATCCAATTATTTTATTTTATGATATGCCATTTCTTTCCTTTTGAGGCTCAAATAGGAAGCTTGTCCCAATTTAAGAGTGTTTGGGGCCTATTTGCATATACTTGCAACCAAAACACTCATAGATTTAGACGAGAAAAATCGGATCGAACCACAAACTAAGATCCCATCCCATTGTGACCAAATGATGGCCATAGGCTAAACCTAGGAAATTCGTGTACCATCCTAACATTGATATAAATGCAGATCGCTTTCTTCATCTATGATCAAAGCATACTTAATTATTCCTTTCAAGTGATGAAGAACTGGTAGTAGAAGTTTCCCACAATGATGTGAGTAGAGCTGACGTTCCCATTCAATTTCACATAGACTTGCCCTTCCAAAAGTTGTGCTCATCCAGGCTGAAGTGGACG